TTTCTCTTCATGCCAATGTGTAATTGATTTCTTATAATATTTAGCCAGTTGGAACTATTTTATTTCTTCCCAACAATCCCTTCCAAACACCTCTGCCCTACCAAGACATGGTTGTATATAATATGCTATACGAACTTCTATTGTATCATTATCAGGCTACATTGTAATTATCTGCTTTTCTTATCTCCTCTCCTCAATCATAAGCTTTTTGAAGTTAAGGAGTCTTGCTAATGTCTTTATCTTCAAGTCTAGCACAGAGACTGGCATATAATATGTATATAACATGCTTTTTTTGGATAGTTTGTTGACATAAAGTGGCGGGTAGTTTAGATCTTGAAAATAAACAGAATCAAGAGCCTCTAGCTTATGTAAAACTGATAGCGCCAATCTTGTTTTTTCAATTCCTGTTCTTTTGTACCCCACAGACTTTTTTGTTTTTACATTATACGCTGACCCCAAGAATTGCTTTTCCAAAATATTTTTAAAAACTTTTTTAGATCAATTGTGAAGAAACATTTTGAGCCACTGCACTATAGTGCTGAGTACAAGCTAACATCCATAGGGTGTTGCCATGTTCGTTTGTTTGCAAAATATGTGTATGCAAATTACTTGAATAATTGCATTGATCCATGCCCTTATTATTCCAGATAATGGAAAAAATGTTAAAATAAATACTCTGACACTAGTGAAAGGAAATGTAGGTCTCAAACAACACTATTGATGTAAGATGAAAATTAGTTTCCAGGAGCAAGGAATCTTTAGCCTCATTTAAATGCCATTGTATTTAAGCCAGGTGAGTATGAAACCATTAAGGAAAAGAACAGTTAGTTATTCTTATTAGATATGTGAATAATGTGCTGCAAATATATTGTCAGTAAGTATGGCTAAAAGGAAAAGTGTAATTAGGTTTTCTAGGAATGGAAGTAGAGTGATATTTTTATTTACATATACAGAATCCATCGGATCCATCCCTTCTTCACTCTCATTTATACGCAACCATATTCTATGAACCCCAAATGAGACCACATTTTTATACATAGTGAGATAGATGGTTGACAGGGTGACAGGATATTTAAAATTTGCATAATATCAGAAAATCTGAAACAAATTTATTGTCCAATTGGTGAGAGGAGTTCAGGAGGTTTCTTTATTTTAACCTGAATTCTATTGAATAATATATTTTTAAAATTTCTATGAAAAGCTTAGCTTGGTTAAAATATCAGAGGAAAGATCTTCATTTTAGTAATATAAACTCTTTAAGAGGCCTGCCATTTTAAACATGTAGTATCTTTAAACACAAAACACTAAAAACCAAAAATTTAATTTTGTTTTGTTGTTTTCATTGATTTTTTTGTTTTGTTTTGTTTTCAGCTTTTACTCATTAGGCTATTTAATACTTGAGTATTGTCCACAGGGATGTAACAATTCAGGGCCAGTGACTGGACAATAAGAAGGCTCAAAAAATTTAGTTGTTGAGAGCAACTGTTATTCTCTGAAAAAAAATTCTCTGCTTTTGACAGAAATTGCTCATTGGCAACTTGACGTAACATCATTCCTCCCACAGAGCCTCATAAATGGAAAAATTGTGCTGAATAGATGTCGTTAGTATCTACAACCAGGAAAAAATGTGTTCTTTGGAAGGGACAGTGAAAAGTCTTTAGAAAACTGGGTTAGGATGGATTTGAACAGATCTCTTTTGCTACACTGAAAAAAGCCTTTAGTTTGTTGTCATATTTCCAAGTGGGATCAGCTTGTAGCAAATTCAGTTCCCCTGCAGGGATTACAAGTCTTCAGCTATAAAGCAGAAAAAAAGAGAGAGCTCTACGTCTGGACAAAGTAAACACTGCTATTTGTTAAGCTATTGTAAGCATCAATTAATTCCTCTCCAACAGAGGTGAAGAAACTAGTCTTTAGTTTGTTTAAGCTGAGAAAAATGGTGCTTCTTTTTTGTAACATATTTAATGATATATATTAACTTTGATAGATTTATGATATGCCAAGTAATACAATGATACTTGTTTTCTATTTCACTGGGCATAAAGAGAGCTCTACTAGCTGAGAATTTGATTTGATATTAAAGGAGATATTTTGTTACTTTTCAGAGACCACTTTGTAAGAAAAGATTTCCTGTGATCTTGCTCGTGTGCTTGCCACTTGGTTTCATTCCCTGACATTCCTCCTCTGTATTTTAAATTCTAATAAAAACCAAACTGTTCAACTCCCAACCAGCCTGAGTGTATTTGTCACCTACATTGTTATTCACATTGCCCCCTCTGTGGGTATAAATTTTCCACTCCATCTAGCTAACTCCTACCAATACTTCCGAAACTCAGCTCAATGCCATCTTCTCCAGGAAGCTTTTCCTAACCAGCTGGTCTGGGTAAGGTTTGCTTTCTATGCCATCCCATAGTTCTCTGCCCAATCCTTCTGATAACACGGGCCATGTCTGTCTCCTCTTATGGACTGTGATCTACATGAGAACAAGGACCACTACTTTGTAAATCCTCAAGCGGTTTATTGCTCCAGTACTTTATATGATTAATTAATTAAATACTCACTGAGTACATTGATGACTATCATAGCTTCTTGCTTTGGAGAACTTTCAGTTTAATGAGAAGACAATTATACAAATACATATATGATTCTAAGGCAATATAGCAGCATATAACAATGGCATAATTTAGACTGAAAATCAGGGAAATCTTTGAGAACAGGACAATGAAATCTGAGACCTGAAGGAAGAGAAGATGTTATTCGAAGGCAGGTGTCAGAGGACCAGGTTCAAGTTTTAGACTTTTGGCCTGAGTGAAATGAGTAGCCATTGAAGATCTGAGCAAAGAGGTGACATGATTGGATGCATATATTAATAGCTGTACTAATTAGAGGGGTTTAGGAACGGAAATAAAGGAACCAGGTGGGGAGTTAGTATAATATTTCAGGCAAAAAGATAATGGTGGCATGGACAATGAATAGCACGAAGATAGAGAAAAACCAGTAGATTCATGATGCATTTTGAAGTTGGTAGGCACTCAATAAACACTTGTTAAGATGAACTCTATTATTTAGTTCAGAGCATCATTTAAAAGTCATGATTGCATTGAAACAGTTAATGTTGCTGAAGGCTAATAGCGATATTCTCCCAAATGTGAGTGATATTAATTTTTTTTATGTTGGTAAAATGTGCTTCATAATGAGTTCATTTTATTTTTTCTACTTACAAGGGGAATATTGTTTGAAGTTTTCTATAATAACTAGCCCAATACTACCTTTCAGTTTTCTAATGAGTTTAAAATCATAACCAAACATAGAAATTTCCATATTGGCTTATTCGCATCCTCAAAATATGATTCACTTTGCCAGCAACAAACAAACAAACTCAGTGTAAAAATGAATATTCCAAAGAAATATGCTATTGAACATTCTACTCTTATATTAGAACTGTTAAGCAAATTAATTCTACGCCAAAAAAAATCCTAACTGATATTTGCATTTACTTAGGTGAACAAACCATTATTTACCAAAAATATTTATTATCTTGCTTGTTTTTCTTTTTTTGAACAATCAAGCATTTTTCCAGATAGACTACTTAGGTTTTGTTTGTGTGTGTCCACAGTTTGGACACCTGATTAATGTTTCAGATTCTTCATCAAAGTGGTAAAATAGAGTGTTACCACTTAATTTCCTGTGGCTGTCATAACAAAGTGCCTCTAAAAAGGTTATATTGAAACAACAGAAATTTATGGTCTCACAATTTCAGAAGCCAGAAGTCTAAAATCAAGGCGTCAGCAGAGCCATGCTTCCTCTGAGACTGGGAGGAATCCTTCTTTGCCTCTTTGTAGCTTCCAGTGGTGGTTTGCTGGCAATCTCTGGCATTCATTGGCTTATAGATACTTCACTCCAATTCACTGTCTTCACATGGCATTATTTTCATGAGGACACCGGTAATGTTTGATTAGATACCCACCCGACTCCAGTGTGACCTTATCTAAACTAATTACATTTGCAATAACCCTATTTCCAAATAAGGCCACATTCTGAGGTATTGGGGGTTAGGACCGCAATGTAATTATTTTTCCTGGTGTGAGGGACACAATTCAACTTATAACAGTTACCGAAACCAATAAAGTAAAAGTTTCTGTCACTGGGGAATTACCTAGCAGCCAATCTTTCCATTTTCTATGTATATTTTCTTCATTACATGTAGAAAAACCGCTAAATAGAGACATGGAAAGCTTGTGTATGTTTATGTTTATGTACATGTACTCACCTCTACAGATCTAGAATGGATCTCATCAGGGATAACTTACAGAGTCAGGAAAACTGTGCAAATCATGTTTTACATTTCCATACCTAGTTCATTCCTTTTATTGAGGCATAGTGATTGGCAAAATTTTCTTAGAGCAAGTCATGCATTTTTGTTTGTAATATCAGCACTATTTTTCATTTTTTTTTCTCTAGTGTGATTTAGTATAGGTAGAATAAAATAAAGTTTTGATGGATGACTTTTGTCTCTACATCCTGGATAAGATAGGTTAAAAAAAATACCAAAGCGCTTAACAGTCTTGGTTTAGGATGAATTTTAACTGTTTCTTCCTTACGCTTGGGAAAATGCATCATTTGTAGTGAGCCTCACTACTCCAGACAGGAAATCTGAATAATTCAGTTACTTTTGTTCTGAATTTCCTCAGCAATCTGATTTTTCCCCACTCAATTCTCTAATCATTTGACAATACTTTACTGACATTTAATGCACTTCTACTGTATACCAGGCACAAGGAAACAGAGATGAAATGTAATCTCTACACTCACAGATCTCCCCATAGACAACTTTTCTGGCTACCTTTCTTCATACCTTCACATTGGATTGCGGTGTATTCAAATATAGAAATGAGTTAAACAGACTGAGGGGGTGAATGAATACAACAGGGGGTGTTAAAGTTATTCTTGTGTCCTCTACTGTGCTTTTGTGATTTATGTTTATTTGTATATTTTTATTTCAGCTGAAAGAGACATCAGTGTCTACTGCGGGGTACAGGCCATTACAATGAAGATTAATTTTTGCACAGTACTTTTCTCCGGTTATTCTGAAACAGATCTGGCTCTGAACGGAAGGCATGGAGATTCCCACTGCAGGGGTTTCATCAATAACAACACCTTTCCCGCGGTGGTCATTTTCATCATCAATCTCAGCACCTTGGAGGGCTGTGGCAACAACTTAGTGGTGAGATTCATGTGAAATAGTGTGCTAGGTTTGGAGTCATAACTAAAAAAGAAAACTCTCCATTTTATGAAATAATCAAAAGCCCAATCTATCTTTCAAGAAAAAAAATTCCCATAAAACTGAACAAATCACTTTCCTTTGCCTGCTTGAGGCTTCTGCTCCCAAACATACAATTTTATTTTCCAAAAATGGTGCTTTTTACCGTAGCTGGGCAGTTAAGGGGCCTGAGATGGGCTGTGCCACTCTAAGCGACATTATTTTGTGTGAATGACATTGATGGATATTTCTCCACAATTTGTCATTAGCAATGTTCCTCATACTTTTTATAGAAGAAGCTTATCATAAAAAGAATGGTTTGTTCCAGTGAGTTTGGAAATGAATGACTTGGCCTATTGCTTCCTAGTGACCTCATTCAGAAAGGAAGACGAAATATAGAATGTGTAACTTAGCATCCTCTAGGTTTCATGTTTACTACTGAAAAATTTACAATGCTTTGTAAAAGAAGGCTGTCAGCATTTCCAGTGTGAAATTCTTCATTGTGTAGGACTCTCCTTTGAATTTCAAAATGTTTATCATTGCCAGTCTTACCCAGGAAACCCCAGTAGCACATTCTCCCTAGTTATTGAGAATATTAAAATACCAATTCAAATATTTTCACCGTGAATGAAAACTGCTAGTCTATGGTATTCATTTACTTATTCATGAATTGAACACCAAAAATAGAATTGAATAAAGAATTGGCTCTCCTGGGAATTAAAATTAATTGAAGTAAAAATATCGTGACTTGGGGGATGTGACACTGAAATTTATTTAGTATTATTTTTCATTGTGCTTGTTTAAATATAATCTTATTACTAAATTCTAGCAAAGACAAAAAGGAGATACAATGAGCATGACCACTTAGCCTGAGGGAGAAAGGCTTTTCCTTTTCATAAACTGTTGTTTGGGATCTAGAGGGAAAGACTTGATTATTCTGAGGGTAGAGATTTTAAGACGTGATAGAAGATGGGGGACAGGAAAAAGAGATCGTTTTGAATCTTCTCCTTTACCTTTTCCAAGAGGGCAGTTGGAGTATTGTGCCCATGACCATTTCCAAGCCTGCAGCTTGAGTATTGTTGGCTCTTTACTAAAAACATTTATTCGTCTCTCTGAACTGTGTGCCGGGAGGTTATAAAGTAAGCCTAAGGGAGTGTGACTCAGGTTGATTATTACATGTCTCTGTTTCCTTGAGTAGAGAGGGAGCCAGTGTGGAGAGCAGCATCATTTCCTCTCCTCTCATCACACCCCAAGGCCTTTCCTTCATAGCGCTTTCTTCTCTGGATTTAAGTCTTGCCTTGCTGCCTAGAAAACAATTTAGGAGAAATGTCTGGCAAAGAATCTGTGTGAGTGTGTGAGTGTGTGCGTGTGTGTGTGCGTGTGTGTGTGAGTGTGTGTGTGTGTTTTACAGACAGAATTGGTATATTTAGCTAGCCAGTCAGGCAAGAAGTGAGAGGAAGGGAAGATTTCCTTATTTTTCAGTTTTCTTTAGATGTCGCCAGCTTTGGAGTCTGTTCCAAGGACATTCCTACATCGGAAAAATTAAGTAGACTACTAAATAACTGGATTAGAATAAAAATGTTTTCATTTATAATAATTCTGGCTCAGTTCATGAATTAGCTAGATAATTGCCTCAGTTTTGCCCATATGCTCCTAGGTTTATGAATGAAGTTTATTCTGTCGTTGAAAATTAAGTATTACAGGTCTCCATAATATCTGCTAAAAATATTTATTGAGCGTCATGGTATTTGACATTATAAGAGAAATTGTATTTCTCTATGGTATTATGAAGATCAAGAACAATATCGATTATTCCTAAAATGCTAGTTCTTAAATTTTAGTGGGATTGGAGAACCTGTGAAAGCTCCTCAGAAAAAACACACACAGACAATACTTTTTTTCATAACTTCTGGGAGTTTATGATGCCCCTGAATCCCATGTATGAACTACTGCCCTGGACAGGGATGAGAATCTTCATGCACCACAGAGGAAGACCCTGAGAAGATCTACTCTCAGGAAAATTGTGACTTTAACTTATTTTCTGAGATTTGTCTCGGGGCCCCAAGATACTGGCCTCACTGTGCTATGCTGAAGATGTGAAGGCGAAAGGAGGTCTGATCATGTCTGATCGTAATCATTCCAAGTCAGGAGGCTGCTCATGCTCTGTGACTACTGCTGTGATGGAAATAGGGAAAATAACAGGGCAGGGGGCTGTCGAGAGAAGTTTCCTGGGAAAGATAAGATTCGGAGAGGAGTAGGCTATGTCAGGGTGAAGTGGGGAAAAGAGGAGGCAGAAGGAGTATGCACAAAGGCCTGAGCAAAAAGGCTTTGGGGCTGGAGCATTATTAACTAAGAGAGGGAGCCTGGAGATACAAAGCTAAATTGGAAAACAAGATCAGATTAACAGGGGACTTTTAAACCATGCCACAGAATTTGGATTTATCATGGACATTTTCAAATTACTTGTTACAGTGCTCTGAACATATAATCTCTTTCCTTTTTAATTTATGAAATGTAAATAAAGTGTCTTTGATAAATACAGTTTCATTTAGTTGAGACACATAGAATCACTTAAAGGTAGCATGAGGTGTGTATAATCTTGAAATAATGACATGTTATAGTTGAAACAGACCATAGGAATGATCTAATGTTTTATTTTGCATATAAAATGCCTAGATTTACATATAGCTATTTAATCATTGAACTTAATCTACTATTTTAACAGGTATCCACAGTTCCTGGAGTCAGTGCTTATGGAAACACAACTTCAGTACAAATAGGAAATATTTCAGGATATGTCGATACTCCTGACCCACCAACAATCATCAGCTATTTACCTGGGCTTCTTTACAAATTTAGTTGTAGTTATCCATTGGAATACCTGGTTAATAATACCCAGCTTGCTTCGTAAGTTCATATTTTATTCTTGCTGTCTCATATTGTCTTATGTTTGAGTCATTTCTTATCCTTAAGGGACTTATAAAGATTTATAACGATTTACTTAGCAGGATTTATTGAGAGTAGCCAAACTCAATTAATGGAAACCCTTTTAAAAGTATCTATCTATCTATCTATCTATCTATCTATCTATCTATCTATCTATCATCTATCTATCTATCATCTATCATCTCTCTGTCATCTATCTAACATGTTAAGAACCATATCAACAACTCAAGAGATAGATGTTATATGTATTTTATATACTTGTTATAGATTATATATAGTTTTCCTCCAAAATTAAAACTGGCTAAAACTAATCAGGTGTCTGCCTTGGGTTCTCTCTGCTCCCTTTAGAATAGTCCAAAAACCCAAGAACTCTGAGTGTTTTTACAGTCCAGAAGGGCTTATTAAATTTCCAGAATGTAGAACATTCAGTCCTGTTTGGTTTCAGTCTCTGCCATATGCTCCCTTTGAAGTTTGCTGCCTCAGAGTCTGGGGTCTCAGTGCCTTCTGCTGAGGTGTCATCTGCACAGGTGCTGATGATTTCCAAAGAAAGGTGGCATCACCCAGAACCTAAGAGCTCCAGACATGGACTAAGGTCATAGCCTTTGTTTATAGTCATGTATTCATTCATTATTCCAAAGCACATACTCCAGGACAGGATTACAGCCACATTACAGCATAGTCACCTGGATTTGTCAAAGATTTTTGAAGAAATGGGGTGATTGGATGAAAACATCCACTTTCTAATTTTAGGGTTTGCTATCACAAAAGTGTAGTTATTGTTTAATCTTAGTCACAAAGAAAGGTAAAGGCCATATTTTGCTTCAGATGAAAAATATTCATAGCTGGTTTTAATGGCGCAGTGATGATCAACACCTTGGTCAAAAGCAGGATTTTAATGTAGAAAACAAGAAAAAATATCCTAGAGTCTAAAGGATACAGGTGTAGAGGAAAGCAGATCATTAGGGTGTCACAGTCTCTCACTCTGCCTGCCCCCTCCTACACTAAACACATGCCCAAGCTTCATCGTACATGGAAATTCATTCGTTTGTTCAATAAATATTTATTATGTATCTATATGTACCATGAAATGTTCTAGCAGTGAACAAAGTAAAACAAAATCTCTGATCTCATGAAACTTCTATTCTAATGGAATTGATGAAAATGTATTTACATCAGATTCAAATTCTTTTGGAATGACTTTTTTTTTCCCTGCAAAAAGTCTCATATAAGTAATGCCAAATGAAAAAAAAAAAAAAGATGCCTTTATAAATAAAAAAATTATAAAAAACAGTTTGTCTTTACTTGGCCTCTCTTGCTTTTTAATCTTTTATTTGTTCAGTGATTCAAGATATACACCTACTGCAGGCCTAGTTAAAAGTATGTCGAGCTTACTCAAGAATTTTAATATCTTAAATCTAACATTAAGGTATACCTGAAACTTTTAATTTAAGATCTCATCGGTGCTTTCCTTCTTCTAACTCTGTCTTAGGTCCTCAGCTGCTATTTCTGTGAGAGAGAACAATGGTACATTTGTCAGCACTTTGAACCTGCTCCTTTATAATGTAAGTTGATTGGTGAAGGATGTTATTTTCTCTCTCACCGTTCTGAGGAGCCATTTATGCAAATGGCTTTTATATAAAAATCTACCCCAAACCACATTAACTCTGTTATACTTCGGTAACATTTATCCATCTTTCCTACCATTTTCATATATTTTAGTGATAAAGATATAATAAAAACTCCATTTTTTCCTAAAAGTTGGTAGATGATTTAAGTTTTATTTCATAAATATAATTCTGTATAGTTACTCTAAGTGTCTATCTGCCTTTAAATGAATGTATTTATTTATGTGTGTGTGTGTGTGTGTGTGTGTGTGTGTGTAGCCATTGTCAGGGACAAGAGTTGAGGAATAATATTTTTGCGATAAAAAGAAAAAGCCTAAATAATACTTCTTTTAAAGGCATGCTTGGTGATGAATGTGTTAATATTTTTAATACGGTTTTTGGCTGATGTCAGTTCTGTCACATCTGAAATAATTTGGCTTGACTACATAGTATTGTCTAAACTTTTGTCATGTAAATATCAACAGTGGCAGCAAAACCTGAAAAATACATGGATTTCTATTTATAACTCTAACATTAATCCTCCAAATGATATTTTCATGTTGATTAAAAATTTTTATTCATACATTTTAAATGCCTGATTTAAATATCAATTTTTCAATCTATCAACCAACATTTTTGTAAATTATGAATTTGATTTTTACATTATTATTCATGTCATCATGGCACTGAGTTATGATTCATGCAACTGATTTAAAAGTCAGTACTTTATACTTTGAATATAATGAGCTATAAATATTGTAGTAGGACATTTTCCAAAGGCATTCTTAAAAAAATCATGTTTGTAAGTTTGTAGTCTGACACCACAGAGTTCTAAACAACAAATTAAAATGTATTGGAGTGAAGATTGTTTTTGTTGGTACGATTTTCTGTCATTTCGAAACTTTCTTCTGTAAGAAGCTGCCAAGTTACTTGATTCTATAATCTCAGCAAATATGTGCCAATATTTGTTCCCAATATAGCCAGATATTTATTATTGTTGCAAGCACTATTTTTAAATAGAAGATTTTTATTTGTTGATTTATATATGTAAGCTCCCTGAGGTAGAATTGAGGTGACTGGTTTGGGTTCAATATTATTTGTTATAATTGAGTGAAATAAAAATGACAACTCCTGATCTTAAAAAAGAGAAAAATATACCCACATGACATTTAATGATACCATTACTTTCTGTGAAAGTAAACTATTTTCTCACTGGGAAGTAGAAAATCAAAATTTAGAAGTGCAGATTTGAGAAGAGTTTTGCTATTAAGGTCTTTTCTTTATCATTTGATATAATATTATAGTCCTGTTGCTAAGTAGACATAATCCTTCAAAGAGTTTCTAGAATCTTAAGGCTAAATAAAAGCCTATAATTTGATGATAACCTTAAGATTTTAATTCTATGGTCAAAAGATAGCTAACTGGATACCAGACTATAAATGAAATAGGTAGTGCCAAAATATTTCTCATTTTTAATCATTTTCAATAAAAGAATTAATGGTTGAATAAAAATTAAATTGAATTTGAAGTCATTTAGTAACAAGTTACTTAATAGAATTCAGCCATTTCCCCATAAACTAGTTGTTTTTAATTAACAGACTATTTTTTAGAGAAGTTTTAGGTTTACAGAAAAGTTGATCTGAAAGTATAAAGTTCCCACATACCTCCTCTGTCTGCACACAATTTCTTCTATTATTTATACCTTGTGTTTTGGGGTATATTTGTTACAATTGATGAACTGATATTGCTATATTATTAACTAAGGTCCATTGTTTACTTAAGGTTCACACTGCATGTTGTATATTCTATGGGTTTTGATAAATAGCTGTGACATATTTCCACCATCGCTATTTCATACAGAAAGTTTCACTGCCCCAAACTACTTTTTTAAAATAGTATGATCATAGTATTTTACAATGTTACAAGATATTAAAAAATAGTAATTTATAATGGAAAAAAAATTTGGTATACTTCCACTAATTGATTCAAAATCGTATTTACTTTTTGTTTGAGAACCTTTAGCTACTAACCTTTAGCTACGCAAATGTAATTTTATTGTAGCATTTCAAATTATATTTTATTTTACAACCATGAGGGGCCATGTCTTATTTCACATGCAAAGTTTTTGATTCCTAACCCTTAGGAATGATAAAAAATTGTATTACGTACCCACTACTCATATTCTCTAATTAGTCATTTAAAGAGGAAAGTTTCTTACCCAATTTGGATTCAGGGTAATTGTTTATTTTTATGTGATCCGTGACTCAATAAGTGTACTTAGAAAAGTTTTATAAAAAGCAATGACTTTATTGACTATGCTATTTCCATATATGCAAGTTATTTCAGGTTGAACTGTGACTTTTATTTCTATGAAATATAAATATATCAGTTTTCTCCTCTATGGAAATAAGGATGACTTTGTGCATTTCAATAGTACCTGACTATTACTATCTTCTCAGGAGATACAGAGACAGTAAATCTGAAGAAAAGATTATAATAATTATGAATATTTAAAAGATAAAGAAAAAATCTAAAATAAATATAATTGATTTTAGGGAAAACATTGTACTAACAGGAGTAAAGGCAACTATCCAAGATAAAGTCAGAGAATTACCTTTGAGAAGCAATTTTAGAGAAAAAATTTGATGATTCATAATTAAACCACAGCTGAGTCATGTCATTTGCAAATGATTTGACAGTATAATACTTGTAAAAGAAGTAAGTTTCTTCTGGACAATACTGATGCAAGTATAAGAAGAAAATACTTCATAGTTAATGAAGTGTGGATTACTTGGAGAGTTGGAAAGGGGAGCCAGAAAGAAATTAAATACAAATACTTACTATCAGAAATGGCTAGAGGAGCTATTTTCTTTTATCACAGAAATATAGAGAATAGGTATAGCATACAATCCCTCATTTATCTGGTTTATTTGGGAATAAAATATTCCTCATGCATGCAACCTTTTCAAAAGTGAAGCATACAAACAGTTTTTGTTTTAATTTTTAAAAAAAATCAAAATCTGTTGCTTTCTTTCCAGCCTTCTTAGAATATGTTCTGTACTTTGCCTTTGCTTGATGATAGTGAGATTTCATAATGAACATTAAAATCTCCCTTCATTGCAAAATAGCAATATGTTCGGAGTTATTAAATTTTGGGAAAACAATTTACTTCCATGCTAAATGATTTGACAGCTTACATTTTTTAGGAGATTTTTTTCATTTTACATTTTTTTTCTCTTTTTCTTTATTACTAAATTAAAGCTGTCACTTCTCAATTTCCAACTGCCACTTTAATCTACTATAGATTGTAGAGTGATATAAATAAGCTTTCTAAAATTTGTCACAAATAAGGGTAAAACGGTAGAAATGAAGTTCTGAGATACCCTTCTGTGAGTAACCACCAAAGAATTTGATGCAGAAACTCTATGGCATGCATTTTGGCAACTCAGAGAACATGTTGGTTTGTTTGTTTTGTTTTCTATTAAATTTGGTAATTTCAAATTGCCAGATAAGTGATTTTGGGTAAATGAGATATTATCAAGCATATAAAGACCTCCAGTGGCAAAGGGCTTAAACTGAAGCAGACATAATTTAAATAAACTTCTTAAATAAATGGAAATTTAGTTTAAGTAAACTGAATATTGACGATTAAATATTAAACAAATGAAATATAAACCATTGACTATTAACAACTGAATAATGTTTAAAAGCACTGAACATTGACCATCATTTATGGTAAATTATGGAAACAAAAAGATTTATGCATAAAAATGAATTTGTTACTTGACTATGGTTTCAGGACAGCTCTGCCAAGAAGCTAGAGGATTAACTAGGTCCTTTTTGGGTTTCTTTTGGTGGTCGATTTATGTTGATTTGCTGCTCTCTCTCGCTCTCTCTCTTTTTTTTTTTGTATATGATGTTGTTTTAAGTTGTAAATGTACTGTCATTGGGAAGGCAATGATAGATTAATCACTTATTTTTTCATTAGGATTCAACCTACAGCCAGCAGTTAATTATCCCGAGTATAGGATTACCTTTAAAAACCAAAGTATTTGCAGCCGTACAAGCCACTAATCTGGATGGCAGGTATTTTCAAACTCTTATCTTTTGTTGGTTAAAACATTTTGGCTTCCTAAAGCCTCATGAATCAGAAAGTTAGCTCATTCATTTTTAATTTCAAAAATACTGTCATTGCTAATAAACAGAAGTAATAACAAAGATTAAGAGGTGACACATTTTCTGTCATCAACTGGAAAATAACAAGTCTTCCCATAAAGAAGGAGGGGTAGTAACTGGAAGAGGGTGTGAGACATCTTCTGGGATACCAGGATCTTCTATTTTTTCATCAGAAGGATGATTAATCAGATGCAGTCATTTTTGTGAATACTTATGATTTGTGCACTTTTCTATCTGTACATTACTATTCAATAAAAAAATATTTAAAAAACCAAAGAACTCTCTCCATAAGGATCTGGGCCGAAATGATGTAAAATGACATAAAACATCTCTACAAAAAAAAAAAAAAAAAAAAATAAAAAAATTTTTCTATGGTACTTAGAAAATTCAGAATGATCAAAATGGAAAGGGAATTCAAAAGCTAAAGATTTAATCCTGCCCTATAAAAAAACTGTGATATGTAAATGATTTATTTTGGGTTTCTTATATATTACTTAAATGTTGCATCCTGAAGAGATTAGTATACTCAAGAAACTTTACCTTCTCTTTTCTGTCCTGGTATTTCTATTCTTGAATATATATGATTCTTTAAAACTGTCTTATTAAATGTAGGTATTTTTTTTTCTTTCATTTTATTGACATTTAGTTCCCACAGACTAGTAATTTTCATGACACCAGAATCTGAGTAAAGTAATGTATAGATGAAGGCACAATCTGGCCTTGTGGAGGAAGGCTGTGTATTTGCCTCACAGATTTTCTTCTACCTCACACAGTCTATATGGACTCCCATTCCCACCTCCTACTGATTCTGGCATAATTTAGAGTGTATAATTTGCGTGTCGAACTTTTTTGCTATATGTGGTATTATAATATCCTTTGTCATCTGTTAGAGACAGTAACTTCTGGAAACAAAAGACCATTGTTTACAATGAGCATAGAAGCATCTATGCAGTTCACTTTTGGGTTTTATTCCTTCAGACTTTGACCATTTGGTTGCCTTGCACAGAAATTTTGTGCATGTGTGGTATTAGCCTTAACCCCACTTGATGCAGGATGGCAATTTATTATTGCAGATTTTAAAACATATTTGAGTTTAGAAGAATGTTTTAATGAATAAGAATCTTCTGCAAATTAATTTAAAAAACCTACATTCTATGGAATAAGACATTTGTAAATATTTACTTACCTTAGATTAGTAACTAATTCCCAATAAGAGATTCTAACTCTAGATTATGCTTACTTCTTTCTTCAGATGGAATGTCTTAATGGATTATTGCTACACGACCCCATCAGGGAACCCCAACGATGATATTCGGTACGATCTCTTCCTTAGGTAGGTGTCTGAGTTTTGCATTGATAGCAAAGACCAAATTGTAGACATTGAAATGGAAAATTTACATCAGAGAAATAAATTATAGGGCACTTTTATAGCTTTTAAATATAAAGTTTTACATTTTGAACTTTTAGTCCTTATAAAGCTGGAAGTATAAAAGTCGAGAACAGTTTTCAACATGAAATGCCGATAAGGCTATTGTTGAATGAGAGTTGCAGTGAGTTAGGTCCATCAAAGATGTTTTATTCATATTCAGGACATAGGAGAATATTTCACTGTCTTAGGAAAAGCATGGCTAGGATAGTATTGGCAATAAGAGAAAGGCAGTGGGAGGGTACTATTTATCTGAGCTAGACTATCTCATCATATGTCAAAAGGAGAGTAAAATTAAAGTAGGAGTCTAGATAATTTAGACCCCAAAATACTTTTCTTCATTTATCAGTATTTAATATGAAAGTATAAAATAGCCTACTACTCCTTTTTTATCAGAGCCAATAACTTCAACTTCATTCCTCAATAGACAGTGATAGAGTGAATGTAATCTACATTTGGGAAAAGGGGACATTGATCATAAAAACATTCAGTCATCTCAGTTCCCTTTCAGCATTTTTATCTGACAGCAGAACAGACTTGAGAGTCGAGCAATGGCTTCTAATCATGCTTATAAATGCAGTTAGCTCAGATCACTGCTGCTTATTGACACATGATGGGAGTAATATGATGGGAAACCAAGAAAATATGTTTTATTGGCTAATCAAGGTTAAGATGATGTTCAGAGGGTATGGTCAAACTGACACTCATGTCTTGTTGCTGGAAATGTTCCTTTGGGCAACGTTTTTGGGAAAAAATGTCAATGTCCATCAAAAGCCTTAAAAAATTTCATATTCTTTGATTCTATGCTTATAAATTAGGAAGCATATTCTAAAATATTTATGATTTTTCTGGTCTATGAGTGCTATTTAAAATAGTAAAACATAGGAATAAGGAAATGGCTGAGTGAATTATGAAAAACCAGTAAGTCGAGAGCTCATACAGGCACTGCAATCATATAGTTATTTATAAAGCAGAAAAAAATGTTTGGTTCTATTTTATCTCCTCCCTTTCTGTCTTCTCAATAATTGTATCTTTGGAAATACATAGTTTTTAAAATTTACGTATTAAATATGAAGCGAAAGAATCAGTATATACAATTACATGTACAAGTGAACTTATTTATATTTTATACAGTAGAAAAGACTGTAAGGAAATACATCGAAAGGCTCACAATGGTTATTCATGCATGGTGGGATTGTGGATCATTTTGTTTTAACATTTTTCTTATTTTCCAAAATGTCTATAATGATCACAGATTGATAACCTGGAATATGATCATCAGACTTCTGTCTGATATGACTATAGCTTTAGCTGAGTTCTCAATCTTTTCAGTTTTCTTGTTGAAAACCACAGAAGAGTGAAATGTGTAACTAAAAAAAGTCCCCCACATGCCATTTTCAGTAAAAGCTGTAGAAATTCTAAAATATGTGTTGGGGTCAATAAAAGCAGTTAAGATCAAGAGAAAATGGTGCAGAGAGAGGCTTGTAGGAAGCAGTGCAGCGAGAAGTAGGAAGCAGTGCAGCGAGAAGTAGCAGGAGAAACAGGGAAGAAAAGTGAGTGCAGAGGGGTCCCTGTGGCGTAGGTCCAAGAAACAGCCAGGAGAAATGCACATCTGGAAAGAGAGGACACCACTGTGAGCAGAAGTTGCTAGGATAGGGGCTCAGGTCCAACAAGGGAATATGGAGAATAAAGGGGTAGAGAGTATCCAGAGCCTCAGAAGTGGCAAGTCTCATAAAGTGCCAGCAAAAGTACACATTTTAAAGTTGAAGGAACCACCTGAGAAAGCAAAGGCCCTACCCTTAGTGGAAGAGGCTAGTGAATGAACCTGAGAAACACAGAGCTCATACTCTCATGAATATCTTCAAGTTCAGAGAGGCAGAGAAATCTCAGCTACACAATTCTGCCATAGCCAAAGAAAATTTGTCTGTGATTGTAAAATGAGAGGGAGCCCTTGAACTGAAGAAACTCTTGAGGAAGGTCATTAACATTCCATGTTGTCCTAGGAGTCCCCTGAAAATAACAGGTCTGGGAAATCCGGTTCTTTCAAATATGACTGGTAAGCAATAAAGGTATTTCTGTCAGTATTCCTGTTCCTATATACTATAAGAAAAATGTGGAAAATGACAGAAAAAAGTTTTTTTAAAAATGAATTAAACTCACTGGAAAAATTGCCATGGAACAGATAAGATTTGTAAGAGCATTCTAACATTAATTTTATTTTACAAATTAAAAAGTAATCATAGTTATTAACATAGAATTATAAGAACCCAAGCAAGAAAGGATAGGACAGTAAGAGGTATGGCCATGAGAATGTGAAAAGAGAACTAGGAGAATTTAAGACAGATAAGAAAAAAACAAATGTATTGCAGAAAGAAAGTCATAAGAAGGTGTTCAAGGGTGACTACACACAGTAAAAAGCACAGTATAGGACAAGAAAGATAAAAATAAGAAATGCAAATAAAAACAAACAAATATAAAGGAAAAAGGTAAAAATGATAGAGGAGGAAAGATAGGCATA